GATGTTTTCTTTTTCTTTTTAAAAATGAAATTCTTCACACTATTTTATACTACTGCTCTACTACAGATCAAATGTCAGATCTCTCTATACTACCAAGAGAATTCTTAAATCTTTCTATCAGACTGAAATATTTTGTCACGTATTTGTAACAACTGGGTCAGAAATAGGGCTTTTTAAACTATATTATACTGGGATTTGTGGTTATAACAGGTTGGAATCTCTATCTCAGTTTACAGAACAATGAATCTATGTGAATTATGTTGAAAAGGCAAAACAGATTGCATCATAATCAGGAACAAGAAAGTTAATAGTGCTAACACTAGGAAGCAGTGTAGAGAAATGGAAATGAACCAAAGCTATGGGATTAGACTTGCGTTCAAATCTCAGATCTGACTCTAGCATTTAAACAAGTTAACTCTGAGTCTTCATCATTTCCCCACTGTGAAAAAGAGGATAATGCTACTTCAACAAGATCGACGCAAAGAGGAATACAACAAGGCACATAATATTCAAATTGACAAAAATTAAGGATAAGGGGAAAATAATTAAAATCAATAAGAGAAAAGCAACAAATAACATACAAAGGAACCTCCTGTAAGGTTATCAGCTGATTTTTCAGCAGACTCTACAGGCCAAGAGGGAATGCCACAATATATTTAAAGTGATGAAAGGGAAAAACTTACAACCAAGAATACTCTATCCAGCAAGGCTCTCGTTTAGATTTGATGAAGAAATCAGTAGCTTCACAGACAGACAAAAGCTAAAGTAATTCAGCACCACCAAACCAGCTTTACCACAAATGTTAAAGGAACTTCCCTAGTCATCAAACTACAAGAAAAGAGAACAAAAAGAAGAAAGAGAAAAAAAAGACCTACAAAAGATTGTTTTGGCAATTCAAGATCTTTTATGATTCCATATAAATTTTGGAATTGTTTGTTCTAGTTCTGTGAAAAATGTTATGAGTATTTTGACAAAGGTTGCATTGGATCTGTAGATTGCTTTGCGTAGTATGACCATTTTGATAATGTTGATTCTTCCAATCCAAGAGCACAAGATACCTTTCCATTTCTTTGTATCATCTTCAACTTCCTTCATCGGTGTTTTACAGTTTTCAGAGTACAGGTAACCTCCTTGGTTAGGTTTATTTCTAGGTATTTTGTTGTTTTTGATGCAGTGGAAATGTTTATGCCAGTTCTAAAATTCTGATTTTTAAAGTGCAAAAAAAGAAAAAGAAAAAAGCGAATTAAGGGCTGCATATGGCAAAATATCCTTCTTTTTTGTGGGTGAGTTGTGTTCCATTGCATATAAATGTTACATCTTCATTATCCATTCACCTATTGATGTGCACTTAGGACGCTTCCATGTCTTGCCAATTGTAAATATTGCTTCTATTAATAGCAGGGTGTTATGTATCTTTTTGAATTAATGTTTTTTGTTTTCTTGGGTATAGCCCCAGGAGTGGAATTGCTGGGCTATATGGTGGTTCTGTTTTTGGGTTTTTGAGAAAACTCCGTATTGTTTTCCGTGGTGGCTGCACCAATTTACATTACCACTAATAGTGTACAGGGGTTCCTTTTTCTCCACATCCTTGCCAACATTTGTTATTTGTGTTCTTTTTGATGATCACTATTCTGACAGGTGTGAGATGGTGTCTCATTGTGGTTTTGATTTGCATTTCCCTGATATTGGTGATATTGAGCAGCTTATCTTGTTCCTGTTGGCCATCTGCATTTCCTCTTCTGGAAAAATGTCTGTTCATTCCTTCTGCCCATAATTAAAAAAAAAAGGCACTTCAAAGAGTTACTTTGAGGATTAAATGAAATAATTTATGCAGGTGCTTAATAGTACCTACCACAAAATAGGAATTTAGTCCAA